TCCATGATTCAAAAGAAGCTGAAGAAAAGTAGATCTGGCCACTCAAGCAGTACTTCTAATTTCTGGTGCTCTATCAATTAACTAAAAAAGTCTAGAGTACCTTAAATTCTTCCATTTAAATCTTAAAATTGTAATTAATTTGAGTAAAATCACATACTCCAAACAGTATAAAAATCCCCCAAAGAAATTTAAAAGAGATTCATATGAAAACTGCATTTTTGTTTGCCATTGTGCCTTCCCTAGCAAACTTTAATAAGGGCAGATTGTCCCAACAAAGAAATCATATATTAAAAAAAAAATCATAAAAAAAGGCAAGAAACAAAAATAGGGAAAAAAAGCACCCAAAGAAATTAATACAAGAAGAATGAAGTGGAAAAAAAGAACAAAACATTAGCTCACCAAAAACCAAAGTAGAAGAGATGAGAAATTAATAAAAGAAGAATGAAGATGAAAAAAAAGAACAAAACATAAACTCACAAATTTTCTTCCATTGATTTTTTTCCGCTGAAAACACATTTGCCACAGCAAAGCTCCCTCAGAAAAATCTATTTGTCATCTACCATACCATATATATTGAAGAATACAAAGAAAAAGAATGCCAATTTCTATGGTTCAAAGATTCATTATTTATTAAATATTTTAAGTTAAACGGTTCTTGTTTTACCACCTTGAATGAGACCATTAGAGAAGGAGATCAAAAGGTCTTTTTCAGAGAGAACAGAGAATGTCTAAATCAAAACCCCCATTTGAAACCATCATTGCAGATTCAGCTCCTAGTTTTCCCCTATTGCACTCAGTCACCTAGACCGAAAAGAGAGACGAACTCTTAAACACACAGAACTCATCCTCAATATCTCATCAGAAACTGAATAATCTGTCATAAAATCACAAACACAGAGAAACCAATAATTGCTTTTATGAAAGTCTACTAAAATTCAAATTGCCATCTTTGTGTCACTTTGAATTAAATGGAAAAACAATAAACCATCCACAACCAATTTGAGAATGATTAAAGAAAAGATTAGAATGAGCCACAATCAACACTAAAACAAAAAAACAATATATAGAATATAATTCACCAACCCAAAAAACTCAACTCCTTAAGAAATAGTGAAACAAAGTAGAACACACCACTTCAAAAGGGATCATTTCTTACATTAAACGCTTTTTAATTGTAAAGCAAAATGTTACCATTGGAAATATACAGGTGTTTCCCCAGATATGCAAAGGCTATATATAGGAGATAAGAGACAAATTCAGAAAGAGTACAATTATTCACACTAACCATAAAGACAGTGCTGAACCCAAATCGAAACAACCAAACATGCAACAGCAACTTTGGGTTTGAGCTTCGTTTGTTCCAATTCAAACACTAAAATGAAAATAAAATAGTTAGTAAGTTCAAATTTTGTAATAAATATTCTAAAATATTTAACATGGCACATATTACCCTCTCCGCCTTCTCCTCCGTCACCCCTCTTTCTTGTCCAGGAACTTCTCTATCCAAGCAATTTCAGTCCGGTTCATCTCGTCATCCCAGCTGCTTCCACGCACGGTTTTTTCCCTGCCCTGTCTTGCCCTTTAGTCTTTAATCCGATTCCTCGTTCTTGAACCTTCGGTCCTCCACTCGCCACTCGTGGCCGGTGGTGCGCAACAGGGGCGTCTCGCGCCGTGGTTTATGTGGCGAGTGGGATTGGATCACATTTTTTCACCGATGTCGCCAGGTCATTGGAGAAATGGGACTCGCAATTACAGCCCAATAAGATTTGCAATGACAATCATCACCCCAAATGGCAGTGGGAGAAGATGAGGGAGAAGACCTGCCTCGAATCCTCGATCATCGACCTCCTCTTCTGTGCCTCCATCATCTCTTCTTCCATGCCGCCCTCTCAACCGGCCTCCTCTTTCTCTTCTCCACATGATCCTCCTTTCCCCTTTCCCCTTTCCTTTAAGCTTGCTTTTTCTTGTCTCACTGAAAACGCGGCTAGCCACGTAACTCAACATGAATGGTGTAAGAACAGTGCGCTTTGAGAATTTGCACTGAATAAGGAGTTTTTTTCCTTTTTTTCTTAGCTGCCTGCCGCAGATGGTTAAAACCCTAATTCTGACCCAAATTAAGCCTTTTAGATTAGTCATTACTAACTCGCCCAAGCTTTTCTGGAAAAAAAATTTGCACTGAATATAAATGAACAGATTAGGAACAGTATTGGTGGTTTGAAAATGTTGGTTAAAAGACAATAAAACCAGTGAACAGCAACAAATCTGAGAGACAAAATCCGGAAATGCAGGGTGAGTTTACTAAGGTAAGGAATGAATCAAAATATGTTGACCGCATGTGCTTGATGCAAGGTTGTCCAAAGTTTGTGGAAGAGATGCTACAAGCCTACAATTGGTGGGGGTTTTGTTTTTGTTCCATATTTTTTTTCGGACTCAATACATTCTTTAGGCCGACTCATTCTGTGGGAGTTACCAGTTTTGTAAGCGCAGAGGTATGATCAATCTTGTTCTTTGTGAGAATTCGGTCGACGAGCTGGTTCATGATAAAATTGATTTTACATAATGCTCCTAATTGGAATGAGAATGCTGTATTTCAAATGATCCTAAGAACTAAGATGAACCTTCGCTTGGCAGCGTGGAAGGCAAGATGATAGTGTTTTTGCATTTCATCAATGGTGCTTGCTTCCAGCCTTCAGTATATTCGTGAGCTTTAAATATGTCTAGTCTATTTTCGGTCTCTAAAATTTATTTATTTTTTGGCCTTGTTTAGTCCCTTTATTATTTTATATATATATAACTTATTAAATGAAAAAAATTTCAAAA